GCACATCACTTCTGTTGTATTCTTGCCAAAAATGCATGACCTCAATCTACTCACAAGGAAATGTCAGACGACCCAAATTGAGGAACATTCTGTAAAGTAACCAACCAACACTCCTCAAAATGTCAGGATCAGAAAGACAAGTAAGGACGGAGGAACTGTCACAGATTGTAGGAGACAAAGGAGACAAGACAAGTAAATGCAGTGTGGGATGAGGGATTAGATCCTGGACCAAGCAAACAAATGAACAAACACCCCAAAAAACAAGAGGACATTAGTGGAAGAATTGGTGAAATCAAATTTGTAGTTTAGTATTATACCAATTCTCTAACCGTACCAATTGTATTTTACCAATTCTTAGTTTTGATAATTGTACCATAGTTATGTATGAGGCAAACACTAGTGAAGACTAAGTATATAGGAACTCTGTACCATTTTTGCAATTTTTCTGTAAGCCTAAAATTATTTCAAAATAAAAAGTTAAAAATAATCTGGATATGCACCTTTTATGTGTCATTCATATAAAAATATCTTCCTCAGGGCTGGCCCGGTGGCGCAGTGGTTAAGTTCGTGCACTCTGTTTTGGCAGCCTGGGGTTTGCAGGTTCGGATTCCGGGTGCGGACCTACACACCACTCATCAGACCATGCTGTGGGGATGTCCCATATACAAGGTGGAGGAAGACTGGCACACATGTTAGCTCAGGGCCAATCTTCCTCACCAAAAAAAAAAACCCAATCTTCCTCTTCTGGCATTTTGGTTGACCAGATGCATCTCCAAGCCGGTGCCTTAGCTGCACCTTCCAAGGGCCATTTCTTCTATTGCTCTGTCAGGTCTGCAGCCTCTGGATGGTGAGGTATACATTAGGATTAGTGGATTCCATGATCATTTGCCCACTACTGCATCTCCTTTGCTAAAAAGTGGGTCGCTTGGGGGCTGGCCTGGTGGTGCAGCAGTTAAGTGTGCGCGCTCCACTTCAGCGGCCCGGGGTTCACAGGTTCGGATCCCAGGCACGCACCAACACACCGCCTGTCAAGCCATGCTGTGGCGGCGTCCCACATAAAGTAGAGGAAGATGGGCACAGATGTTAGCCCAGGGCCAGTATTCCTCAGCAAAAAAAAAGAAGAAGATTGGCATTGGATTAGTTAGCTCAGGGTTAAATCTTCCTCACCAAAAAAAAAAAGAAGAAAAAGTGGGTCGCTTGGCAAGAGGTGAGGTTATGTGGTAGATCAAACACTCTTGAGCCTTTAGACAGTGGTGCTGGCTGAGGCCATGTAGGCAGCAGAGGCAAACCCATGCCCATAATATATGTTGTGTTGATTTCACTCAAAATAAATTGCTCCCCTTTCAGAGTGGAAGGAGTTTGATGTTATCAACTTGTTACCAAGTGGCTGGCTGGTCTCCCTGAGGAAGAGTACCATGTGGCGGATTCAATGTTGGTTTATGTTGCAGTAGGTTGGACATTCAGCAGTGGCAGTAGCTATATCAGCCTCAGTGAGTGAGTGCCAATGCTGGTGGGCCTGTTATTAGCCTCTATCCCTCCTATCATCGTGCCAGCACTGGGGTGCTCACTGACAGAGGTTGGCCGATGACAAGTGGCTGAATCATGCTATCTGCTTCGTTAGTCTCTTCCATGGTAGATGCTCTCTGGTGGTCATTGACATGTGATACATCTGATATAAAGATCTCACTTTGTGCCTCCTCCCATAGATCCATCTACAGGCCTCTTCTCCAAACCTACTTGACTCTGATTTTCCAATATTTCTCTTCATAGACTCTTGACCAACCAGCCAAGCCATTCACCATTGCCCATGAACGCATACATATTCTTCTCTTGGGCCACTTTTCTTTCTACAATAGCGGATGACCCAGTGCATGACCTGGAGCTCTGCCAATTGGGAGGATTTCAGGGCCACCCCTAAGTGGGGCTGCAGTGCAGCAGCAGTCCATTTTCAGCTTACACCCTTCTACTAAGCCAACCCACCCATGAACCAAGCTTGAACTTTTTCCTCATCAGCTGATCATAAGTTCCCCCATATGGCCATGGGTGTGAGCTGAGGAAGAGGTGCTGGCCAAGCAGTGGTGGGTGGCATGGAGGTCTGGACCACCTACTCACGCAGCTTACTTTGCCCTCTGGCCCTGCTGGTGCCCAGTTTTGTTTGTTCCCCTTTCATCTAGAAAGTGAATGTTTTGGACCCACCTGACTTTATGACTTGGTGGGTCTGATAGAATGCAGTTCATGATGGCCAGCTCTGGGCACATGGTCGCTTGATGTCTTGTGGTCACACTCACCACCTTAACTGGGACCCAGTAGTAGGCCAGGGGCAGTGTTTTGAATAGTGTATAGCTATCTGTTGCAGACATCTTGGCCCTCCTCCAAACCTTAGGGATCTACATTGTGGTTCATCTTTTAGGGTTTGCCACAAACTCTACCTGGCATCTCTCCCCCAACCATAGATACCTCTAGTACCATTAGCTACACGTGGTTAATGGCTACCACATTGGGAAATGCAGATACAGAACGTTTCCATCAGTGCAGAAAGTTGTATTGGATAGTGCCACGTCTAGATCTAACAGTTTACAAGAAATACAGAGATTAGAGAAATATATTAAACAATACCACAAGGATGCAATCATTCAAATACAGAATGTAGAAAATTGTATAGAACAAGTGACACAATTTCTTTTAAAAAAAAAAAAATTTTTTTTTTGCTGGGAAAGATTCGCCCTGAGCTAACATCTGTTGCCAACCTTCCTCTTTTTTTTTTTTTTTCTTTTTCCTCCCAAAAGCCCCCGTACATAGTTGTATATTCTAGTTGTATGTCCTTCTAGTTCTTCTATGTGAGCCACACCACAGCATGGCTACTGACAGACGAATGGTGTGGTTCTGCTCCTGGGACAGAACCCAAGCCACTGAAGCAGAGCACACTGAACTAAGCCATCAGGGCTGGCTCGTGACGCAGTTTCTTTAACAAATAAATGGCATGGGAAAAAAGAGGGAGAGAGAAACTGTTGTAGATTAAAAGAGACTTATGAAACACATTAACCAAATGCATTGTGTGGACCTTCACTTGCTCTTGATTTGAACTAACCAAATGCAAAATAGCCGTTTTTTGAGACAAGTCAGTTAAACAACGCATTGAGAGTGGAAGTACAAACTCATTCAAATGTGGTTGGGGAGAAGGACCCAGGTAAGAGTTTGTATTCCTGATTCTATTGGGAAGAAAAATAAACCTAGAAATAGCTTTATCTCAGTGATGTTAGCAACATGCTTCTTCAAATCTGCAATGGGAGGAAAATTGAGCTTGGAATAGCTTCAAGAGCAGCAGCCACATCATTTCAGGATGGTCCTGAGACCAGCCCAGTGGGAGATTGGAGATGAAAAGGATGCAACAGTCTTTTCCTTCATTAATCTGGTGAACTGCTGCTCATTCTTAACTCTCCTCTTCCACGGAGACTTCCTGGCTTGCCTCACTGCCCTACTCCATCCCATCCCTAAAGAGTCTCCCTGCACTTCCCTCCTCATAGCCCTAATCACAGCCTACTCTAACTGTGACACTGGAGCTGAGACTTGCAGGGTGAGAAAGAGCCAGCCAGGTGGAAAATCTGGAGACTGCTCCAGGCTGAGGGTGCCAAGGCCCAGATCTGGCTGGAGCTTAGGGTATTCAGGAACTGAAGGGGAAACTGGAGCTTGGGGGCCAAAGAGGAGATTGGAAGGAAGCTGGGTATATGGAGAGGTCAGCGGGAACCGGCAGGACCTTTAAGGCCATGACAAAGACTGTGCGTTTGTTTCAAGGACCATGAGAAGCTATCGCGGAGCTTTAAGCCAGGGAGTGGCCGCTATCCTATTTCCTTTTGTGTCAGATAAGCCTCACCTCTCTTTTAGGAGCACTGACCCTGGCGCCCACAGAAGTATCTGACTCAGCAAGGTCTGGCAGGGCCACCTTAAGGCCGCACCTCCTTAAGCAGGCCCCACCCCCGGCATAGCCAATAGGCTGGTGCGTCCACTTGGCCTCCCATCTCAGTGCCTTCACTGCTCGAGCAGCTGCCAGCCATGGCCTCCCTGCTCCGGACTGCGACCTGGGGGCTGTTCCCCTGGAGGGGCTACTGCTCCAGGGGGACGCAGGTAGGCAGGAGTGGGGGAGCCCCCTGGAGGGTGGAGCCTGATGCCAAGTTCCCACCGAGCTCGGTGGTGGAGCACCGTGCAAACTTGACCTTGAGCAGAGGATCACTGGGCTCACCCTGTGTCAAGTGTGGGTGTTGAGTGAGATGGGCCGAGGCCCCCAAAGCTGCCTCAAGTGGGGCTGCAGGGTGTCAAATGAAAGGTTTGTGGGCTCCAGGGTGCCCCTTTGGGGCTCCTGAGTACATACACGTTTTGAAAGAATGCCTGGGAGCCACAGACCTGGGTTCTAGGCCAGGCTCTGTCATCTTGACTTGCTGGCCTTCATTCCCAACTGTAAAATGGGAAGAAATCCCCAGAAGGGCTCCAAGAGACCTACAAGCCCCTGGCCAAGGTGGGGGCCTGGTGGGGGGGCGCGCCTCAGCGGAGGGGCAGTGGAAGTTTGTCCTTCCTGTCCCTCCTTTATCAAGCTGTGTGGCCCCTCAAGTGCCTGGGGTTGTGCTGGCTGGCCTTGGAGGAAGGACAGAGATGAGTAACCTTTCCAAGCCACTAAGGCAGGGCTGGCTACTTCATGGAACCCTATTGACATCCCTTTTGTAAAGTGGATCTGGTTTTATTTTCATCTGGGTGACGGGTTTTCTGAAGTGAAACATTGACCCCAATGGTTCTGTTTGGAAAGAGGCATTCCTGTAGAGCGGGCTTGTTCTAGTGGGTTCACTGGCAAGGCCTAGCTGTGCTGGCCCTGAGGGGTGTCAGTGGGGGGCAGGGGAGGCCAGAGGTGCTAACAGCGCCTCTCTCACTCCAGCTCCCATCCCTCCTGCCTGCCACAGGCCAGGGCTGGTGGTGTCTTTGAGTGACCCTGGCAATGTGTTTCTCCCCTATAGGGTGAACTCAGCAAGGACTTTGTGGAGGCTCTGAAAGCAGTTGTGGGAAGCCCCCACGTGTCCACCGCTGCTGTGGTCCGAGAGCAGCACGGGCATGACGAATCGGTGCACAGGTGTGGGGGTCCCCCTCCTGGGTCAGAGCCCCTGACCCCTGAGGGCCGTGGGATGTCTTCTTCACTACCATCTGTTTTAGGGTGCTCTGGCATTTCCTGCCTCACCTCCACATCCAGCCAGAAGGGTGTTCTCTGCCCCTCTGCCAGTGTGTAGTCTCAGGCCCTGAAACACTTTCAGCCTCCTTGAAACACGAGCAGGGCCAGAGGGTACCACACTCCCCTAAATTGCTGAGGGTCTGGTTTTAGGTGCCAACCTCCGGACGCCGTGGTGTGGCCCCAGAATGTGGAGCAGGTCAGCCGGCTGGCAGCCCTGTGCTACGGCCAAGGCGTGCCCATCATCCCATTTGGCACAGGCACCGGGCTTGAGGGTGGAGTCTGTGCTGTGCAGGTATGGTGGCCCCCTCCCCCAGCCAGGGTCTGGTCCCATCACACTTGTCACATTTGCGGCTGCCTCCTCCACCACACACAGCTTGGTCAGCCAGCTCCAGCACTCCTTACTTGCCATCCCAGGGCTCTGGTCTGGCTGCTGGGAGGTCGGCTGTGACAGGGGGTCCTGGGGGCTGTGGCCTGGGAGGAAACAAAGGTCAGCCGGCCCTGGGCACCCCTGCTGCCAGGGCGGTGTCTGCATCAACCTGACCCACATGGACCGAATCCTGGAGCTGAATGCAGAAGACTTCTCTGTGGTAGTGGAGCCTGGCGTGACACGCAGAGCTCTCAACACCCACTTGCGGGACAGCGGCCTCTGGTTTCCTGTGGGTAGGCTAGGACTCAAGGTCATTCCCTGGGGGCCTGAGGGCTTCCTGGTGGCAGGGCTGTTTCTGGGGCTTGAAGGGAACGCTCTGCCTCTGGGTGCCCACCCCAGGCTGCTTTCTGTCTGCACTCTGCCCTCCAGACCCAGGCGCAGATGCCTCTCTCTGTGGCATGGCTGCCACTGGGGCCTCAGGCACCAACACGGTGCGCTACGGTACCATGCGGGACAATGTGCTGAACTTGGAGGTGGTTCTGCCTGACGGGCGGCTGCTTCACACCGCGGGCCCAGGCCGTCACTTCCGGTGAGCTCCCTCTACCATTTCTGCCATTTCCCTAACCTCCTGGATAGGCGGGCCAGGCTTCTGAGGGTTCAGAGACTCTATCAGGTGGGCCAAGGCTGAAGGTACTGGGGTTTGTTCTTCCTGCACGAGGCCAATTTGGACCGTGCCAGGGAATGTCTGCCTTGACGGCAGTCTGGGCCAACGCGGCCAGCCCAGAACTCGGGCTCAGATCCCCACCTGGCAGGGGCCTGGGGGACAGTTCCCCCACTTCCAGCTCCAGGCTTCTGGCCAGAAATCTGTTGTCACATGGCCTGGGCACTCACCAAGCTTGTGTGTCCTTTGGACCCAGGAAGAGTGCAGCCGGCTACAACCTCACTGGGCTCTTCGTGGGCTCTGAGGGGACACTGGGCCTTATCACAGCTGCCACCCTGCGCCTGCACCCTGCCCCTGAGGCCACAGTGGCCGCCACCTGTGCATTCCCCAGTGTCCAGGCGGCTGTGGACAGCACCGTACACATCCTCCAAGCTGCAGTGCCTGTGGCCCGCATTGGTGAGCTGGGGACTGGGCAGTCTAGGTGGGCTCCCCAGAAGAGGCCCCCTTTGAAGGCCAGGCCTCACCTCACCTGCCCTCTCCTTGGTCCCAGAGTTCCTGGATGATGTCTCGATGGATGCCTGCAACAGGCACAGCAAGCTGAGCTGCCCCGTGGCACCCACACTCTTCCTCGAGTTCCACGGCTCCGAGAGGGCCCTGGAGGAGCAGCTGCAGCGGGCAGGTGTGCTGTGGGGCAGCTGGGGGAGCGGGGGAACAATGGGCTGCCCCACAGTAGGGCCCACTGTCAATCCCCTGCCCCCGCAGAGGAGATCACCCAGCACAATGGAGCCTCCCACTTCTCCTGGGCCAAGGGGGCTGAGGAGCGCAGCCGGCTCTGGGCAGCACGGCACAACGCCTGGTACGCAGTCCAGGCCCTGCGGCCGGGCTGCAAGGTGAGCCGGGCCAGGGTGGAGGTGGGACTGGTGGCTCAGCCCATGGACCCTTTCCTCAGCCTACAACTCTACTGTCCAGAGCAGTAGGCTGAGGCCCACTGCAACAGCACTATCCCTGCACCCCCCACCTGTTTCTCAGACACTGTCTAGAGGGAAAGCACAGTCGTCTGCCAAATCTTTGAGGGAACCCCTGCCGTAAGCCAGGCCCGGGGCACAGAGACGGATCAGGCACAGCATGGTGCTCTTAGGAGTCGTGAACACAGTGGGAAGGCCTCCTGGAGGAAGAGATGATGAAGTGGAAGGTGTTAGCCTACAGGAAGGGGGAGACTGGGCTCCAGGCAGCACATGCAAAGGCTCAGTAGTGGGGGTGCTGGGGGAATCTGCCCATAGCCTGGGGTGGGGAGCAAGGTGAGAGCTGTGGAAGCCTCTGCTGGCAACACCTGGAGAACACACCCAGCCAATTGTCGTTGTATGGGGGAAACTGAGCCTAGAGAAGAGCAGGCACGTTTCTGTGAGGTTGAGCCCCCTCAGCCCTGTTCTTAGCGTTGACCATAGTGACCACTTACCTCTGGGCAGGCAGGGAATGAGGGGTGAACCTCGCGAACCTCACAGGCCTGCCCCCGACCCAGGGCTATTCCACCGACGTGTGTGTGCCCATCTCTCGGCTGCCGGAGATCCTGGTGCAGACCACAGAGGACCTGAAGGCCTCAGGACTCACAGGTTTGGCCTGCCCACTGCTGGTGGGGTGGGAGGGGGGAGGGCTGGGCTGAGGGAGGCAACTCCGTCCTCTGGGCCCTCAGGAGCCATTGTTGGGCATGTGGGCGATGGCAATTTCCACTGCGCCCTGCTGATAGACCCGGATGACCCTGAGGAGCTCCACAGAGCCAAGACCTTTGCAGAACAGCTGGGCAGGTCAGAGCAAAGCCCGGGGTGGGGAGGCGGGGGCAGAGCTGAGGGAGGTGGGAGCAGCACCTTGCTGAGGCTCTCTTTTCCACTGCCTCCCAGGAGGGCACTGGCACTCCATGGGACGTGCACTGGGGAACACGGCATTGGGCTGGGCAAGCGGCAGCTGTTGCAGGAGGAGGTGGGCGCCGTGGGTATGGAGACCATGCGGCAGCTCAAGGCCGCACTGGATCCCCGAGGCCTCATGAATCCAGGCAAGGTGCTGTGAGGCTGCAAGCAGCGGGCCCACAAGCCCCCAGAAAATGGAACCTCCTGTTCTGGAACCTTTCTTCATGCCACAGCACAGCTCTGCCTTTACCCAGACCCTGCAGGGGTCTTTGCCTCCCTTCTGCCCCCAGTGGACCTCCCCACTGCTGGGGGCTGGGGGACAAAGCTTGAGGACTCAGCACCCTTAGCTCTACTCCACCTGCCTGGTGACAGAAACACTCCTTTCCTGGTATGGGAAGGGACCTCCCACTCTACATTGATAGGTCTTCTCCTTGGGGCCCCCAAAATAAACCTGAACCCCATTTCCAGCTGTCTGGAGACAAGCAGGCAGCACCTGTGAATGGCCTCTCGTGCCTGCCCTCCCAACCTCCTCCAGGTTCTTTGTCCTCTGTCCCTTCGGGCCTGCCCTCTGACTTGTTGCAGCCTGAGGAGGGGACGGTACTCAGGCTACAGGAGGAAGGTTGCTTTCAGGAACCCAGGTCCCTATCCCAGCTGCTCCTCCTGTAGGAACCCCAGGGCTTGAGGACCTGCCCATGGCCAACATCACTTAGGACAGACTCCCACTCAGCCTGAACTGGGCCTTAGAACATTCTGATCATGTTCTTCAAGCAGCTGCTACCAATCACTGAAAATGAAGATGAAGTTATTCTCCTTGTACCATGCCTTTCCATGGTGTGATGTATTTACTAACACCTTTTTTGTTCTCAAAGTCAGGATCTGTCACCCTGGGGCCTGCCCCTGCCTTGGGATACCTGGCCCGGGCTACTCGGCAGTCGTTCGCCCTAAGCCCACGAGAGGGCACCCGACACCATAAAGCTCAGACACCACAGCCTCTACTCTGGGCAGGAGCCCCCAGCACTCACCTGTCTGGGGCCTACAGCTCTCATCCCTGGGCTCCCCAATTCCCAGGGAGGGGGAGGGGCATGGCATCCTGGAAGCCAGTCTCTAAGCTCGCCACCCCCTTGCAGGTCCTAGGAGCCTATCGTGCGGGCCCATCTCCCTCACCCCCTGGTGTTGGCCCCTCAGGAAAGGTGCTGAGAGGAGGCAGCAGCACCCTCCATCTTGCCTCATCTCCACTCTCCCAGGCCACCTCTGAGCTCCTTCCCTGCCTCTACCCCTCAGCCCCTCCTCACCTCTCCTGCTCAGCTGTTCAGGCCCTAGGCAGAGGCAGCTCAGGGACTCTCAGTCCTACTTGAGGAGTTTTTGGAACCCTCCTCTGTGCTGAGCCCAGAGTTCGCTCCTCTGTGACATTTCTGTTCCCAGGCTGCCCTGGATGGGAACAGTAGCTGTGCCAAGAGGTGGTGTGGGGCAAGTCTCATTGGCCATCTTCCCAACCCACTCATCTAACGTCTACAGCGGCGCACACTCCATGGAGACATAGCTCACCAGTCCCCTCCCCTTCCTTCCGCACAGGCTGCCTGCCTGCCTGCCGCCCCGCAGCCCTCCCAGGGGACCCCTCCCAGGGGAGCATTCTGCAGTGGCAGGTTTCTCCCTTACTTTTCCCTGATGTGCCCCCCAGTGCCTGGCAACTAGTAGGTGCTCAGTGAATGGCCATTTCCCCACAATTTTTTATTAAGAAAAATTTCAAACTTACAGAAGAGTTGAAAGAACAAGTATCCTGTTCACTGAAATACCAGCCGCTGAAGATTCAACAATGAATATTTTTGCCTTATTTGCTTTGTGTATTTTTGGGGAACGATTTGGAACTGAGTTACACACTTCTTGACATCATTCACCTATATAATTCAGCATCTATCTCCTAAGAATAAGGACATTCTCCTAAAAACCTCAACACCATTAAATAACTACTAAATGAATGGTCTTAGTGAGGTGCTCCTGTCCTAGAAGCTCCCCAAAGTGTGCTGGGCCCTTAGCAGAGGGAGTGGGTGGAACCCACCTCCCAGCTCCTCCTTTCCTCCCCTCCCAGAAAGGCAGTGCTTGGGAGAGCTGTCTAGATGGAGGACAACAGATACTAGTTCCACCTGGGAAGCCTGGACAACCCCGGTCCCACCCCCACCCCAGGAGTTGGCAATCTGGGTCTGAAGTTGGAGGACGTGGCAGCCAACAGAGGGCTGCAGTGTGCCAGGTGGAAGTGGAAGTCGCTGGGGGTGGGGATAAGTACCAGCCCCAGGAGCCTAGAATAGCACCCAGCGTGGGCTCCAGCCCTGCCCGACCTGGCCCACGACCACTCAGCTCACCCAGGGTGCTGCCAAGGCTACTAGGCCTAAGCCACCAAGGTGGGCACACAGGCCTGTCTGCAGGCCCAGGGGTCAGGTAAGGAGATTGCCTTCAGGGCCAGCTTTGCTGGAGGAATTAAATATAGAACAGGGAGACACAGTTGCCAGGCAGAAGCAGGAGGTGCTGTGAATAGAACAGAGCTCTTTGCAGTGACAAAGCTACAAGGGAGCCTGTTATGCACGTGCCAGGAGCTTCTGGACAGATTCTCTGACCCTCACGGTGACCTCTGAGCTGCGTGACTTTGTCCCCACTTCACATGGGAAGAATCTGAAGTTTAGATGAAGTCGTTTCCCCAAGATCATTCTGCCAAGAAGTAGAGGCCATGTTCTTGCCACCACGGCGATCGCCGGTCCCTGGGGACTCCACCTCAGGTGGACGTGACGCTAAGGCCCAGGCTCAGACCCACAAACTCTTCTTTAGTATTTCTCTGAACATGCCAAGTGTGCCTGTGCCTTGGCTCACGTTTGTCCACCGCCCTGCAATGCCTTGCAGAGTTGGTGCTTCAGGAAGCGTCTGACGAAAAATGACTGCAGAGCCAGGGTCTGGTGGGATTATAAAGCTCACAGAGACAACAGCACACTGGAGGCCTGAGAAGGGGCAGAGCAGAGAAGGTGTGGAGTCATCTCCTTCCAGAGCTTTCCTTCACAGGTTCTGCAGGAGGCTCTAGAATGCCACTCTGGGAGCCTGTCTGGCACGGGGACAGAGGCCAGGCGTGCACTGCTAGCCCCTGCCCTGAGCTTCCCGCCCAGCCTGAGGTGTGCCAACTCTTGTGAGCTCTGAGTGGCTGGTTCTAGTTCAAGGGCTCTGAGCTGGCTCAGCCCCAAACCAGGGCCTCAATGAAGCATGCCCATGAGTCAGCACTGAGACTCGGACTGAGCAACAGGCAGGGTAGGATGTGGGATGGGGAGCCCAGGATGAAAGGGGGACAGGGTCTGGGCCAATACCTGGAAAAACTCGCATCTTTGCAGCCTCCATCTTTGTCCCGCCGACCTTTCCAGAAGAGTTCTGTCACAACCACTCCACATGAGATGTCAGATTAATTCCATGATGCTTGAGAGGGTCAGTAGACCTGTAGGACTCGGGTCTGACCTGCCACGTTCCCTCTACACAGGCATGACTGCTCTGAGAACCACTTCACCCACCTGCAGCCCCAAGTAGTAGCCTGAAGGCAGGCTAATGAGGTGGGTGAGGGAGTGGGGGACAGGCCTTCAACCCCCACAATTCTTGATTGTTTAATAATACTTCATTAAAATAAAGTCACACAGTGCATCTTTTATTAGACATTATTTTAATACCATATCAAAACACCTTGACTAATGAAGAAAGCTTTTCCCCAGCTTTGAACATTTTTTTAAACATTTTATAAGTTTTTTTTTGTATTTTAATATATAAATACAGAAACCTATCTTGCATGGGCTGATGCCACGTGTGAACATCAACGGCTAAAATGTTCTCAGAGTGCCTGAAAACAGGGGTAGCTGTACATATTCCTTTAATTAAAGTCTTTGTTTAAGTTTTCTGGAAAAAAAAATCCACAAGGGTCTAAGAAAAATGTTCAGGCATTTTTGCAGGACACTTGTGATTGTTAAATCCTCTGAACTGACCAGAACCAGGAGGGAAGAGGAGAGAAGAAATGAGAATGGAGGCGGAAAAGGTCCTCGATGGGTTGTTTTTTGGCAATGAGGTCAAGATATCAGGGTCCCAAGGGGAGAAAAATGCACAACCTAGCCAGAAACTGGGGAAAAAAAAAAAAACCAAGGCAGAGCGGTTGGTGATGGAGTGGGCTGACAGGGGTGCCAGGAATGGGACGGCGTGCTCCCACGCCATCAGAACACGTGTGGTGAGGACCTGGCTCTGTTCGTTTCTGTCACTGAGTGGGTTCTAGCTGGGCAGCAGACAGCAATCTGTAAACATCACGAGGGAAAACACCAGTCGACACTAGACTTTTTGTTTTTTTATAATTTTTTTTTTTGTAAACACTTTAGAGACAGACCCACAATGCCTTTCAAAGGTGAAAAAGAAAATGCCCTTTCCCTCCTGGGATGAGGGGTGAGGGGAAGGATAGCGGTTGATTCTTTCTTCTCCCAAATTCGCTCTCATCCAATTTGGTGTCCTCAGGGAGAAAGGGAGAACATTCTCTGGAAGTCAGTGCAGAAGGGGTGCCCTGTTCCCACTGGTGTCCCCAGCTCAGCTCTGCCCCAGTGTCCGATGCCTCCTCTCAGGAACAGGGCTGGCTGTCCCTGTGTGGACCGTAATACATAAGTCGCGCTCCGTTGGGCCCGAGGCCAGCCGCGTGCATCCTGCTGAGGCCAGGCCAGGGCGTCTGTGGTTCTGGTCTGGGGGGCCCCACCGAAGCCAAACATCATGCCGGGAATTTGCACTCGCACACCAGAGCCAGGCTCCACTCCCTCTCCTCACGCTCACCCTCGCTTTTTCTTCTCCCCATGTCCGCAGTTTTTGGGGGGAAGGTAAAAAGATCAAATGTCCCTGATCTGTCTGACATCATCAGCTGTTCTGAGAGTTTACTTGGAATAAATAAAATAAACCTAACAAAGAACAAAAGAAAACAAAAAAACAGAGAGAGAGAGACAGGAAAGAAAAGAGGCCCCAAAACCTTTAGATGTGAGATGAGGTGGAGTCAGGGTTTTGGTTTCTCTGGGGGTTTTATCTGTTTGCCAGAAAAAAGAAAGTGCCAGCCCAGAACTCGGAAGGGACAGGTAGGATGGGGGACAGGAGAGGATGGTCAGCAGTAAAGCAAGGTGCCCTGGGGAAGAAATGGAGAGGTCAGACCGGACATTACACTGAGGAACACGTGTGCACATTTCGGGGAGGAGGTTAGTTGTGCTGGCCTGCTGTGGAATCGGGGCCCTGTGCTGTGGGGTGGGTGGGGCCGAGTCTGGCCTGGAGGCCTCAGATTCATCTGGAAGTGGGGGTGAGGGAGGCCAGAACCAGGAAGAACCAGCAGAGAAATTATTGCTGACAAGCACAGCAGGGGGCAACGCACCGTACCACAGACTGTCTTGTTTAGTAAGTGTGATGTCCACACAGGGATGGGGAGCGAGATTATCCCTGTCCCCAAAGAAAAAGCAGAGACCCAAGAGGTGAGGACCTGCCCCAGCCACCCCACGAGCATGAGGCAGAGCTGGGCTGCAAACCCAGTGTCGGTCCCAGAGCTTCTCCCGCCTGGCACATTCCGAGGGGATCTTTCTGACCTTCTTCAGGGAGATTCACCCTGGGCGTCTGGAATATACTGGTCTTTTCCCCAAATAATCTAACTCTGCTGAGCAAGTTCTTCTTCATAATTGCGAGTTTGTATCTCTCATCCTTCCCAGGGAATCATCTTTCCCCTTATGGGACCACTAACTGCTAAGACACTCCCTTCTCCCCCTGCTCCCTTCTCAGTGGGGTGTGTAAGGGCAACTCAGCCCCACCTCCAGGCCCCGGAGGGACTCTGCCCCAAACCTTGAGCCCAGAGCACCCCCAACCACGGGCTCACCTTTGAGAGGAGTCAGCAAGCGAGCCCAGAAGGGTCAGTCTGCCGGGTGTTCTGGACAAGATCTGTTCACTTCAAACCAGGAGTCTATGCAACTGAGGCGGGGAGGCAGCAGGGGGAAACACATTACCCGCTGACCATGCCACTCCTGAGGGGGCCGGCTCCAAGGGTCAGGTTTCTGAGCAGAAGTTTCCTAAATCTTGCCTGAGAGGACCCCAGGGGAAAACAAGGCTGTCCCCAGACACCCACTTTCTGCAAGCAGGAAGGAAGGAGAACATTAAGACTAATCTTGGCTCAGCTGGGGGCAGCCAGCCTAGTGTGGTGGGTACAGGATGGGGGTGGATCTGAGCGCTGCAGGAAGGGGGGAGTGTGGACTTGAGAGGGACCAAGACCTTACCTGCGTGGAGCCCAGGAGGATGGCAACAGCTACTAGGTAAGAAGGTGGGAGTGGGCGGCATGTGCAGGGCAGCTAGTCAACTATCTCTAAGGCTTGAAGGGCAGGTACGTGGGAACAAAGACTGGCAGGCTGGCCACTACTCTGAGCTCTGGAGTCCTGAGAGAGCCCTCTCCTGGGTCAAAGGAGCAGCCTCGAGGCTCCCTCCCTGGTGGGTGACTTCTCAGGAGACCCTTAAGCTCTACCTGGCTCCGTTGGCTGTGGTCGGCAGCTGGCATCTAGCCCTCCCCGGAGAAGGTGGGAAGGGGAAGATGGCCCTCTGGCTCAGTGACATTGCCATGGACAGCCAGAGAGGAGGCTGACAGTGAAACCCTCGTCTTCAGTGTTTATAGAAAGGACTGTCTGAATCAGAGAGGGAACAGAGATTGCCCCAAGACAGCTTTCTGATTTATAAACCAACATCTGGGTATTTTCAAAGACAGGAACCAGACAGATAATTTGCATAATTCTCCCCCAGAGCCAAAGATTCCTTTCTTCTGGTTCTGGCTGGTGCCTCCCCAGGACACTGCAGCAGTCTGTGCTGGGCCCAGACCAAGACTTCCTCCCCCAGGCCAACCTTGAGCCTTCCCTGCATCAGCCACATCCAAGTGCAGGCACCACAGTCGCCCTGGCCAGTGGCTCCGTGGGTCAGGCTTTGGAAAAGCCCGTTCAGGAAGAACCTCAGGGCTCAAGGAGCTGAGAGCAGGTGGTGGCCACAGGCAGCACAGAGCGTCCTCTTGTCTTGGGTAAGAAGGTGTCTTCTTTCCAGTTGGAAACAAGATCGAGGCTCATGCTGGAGCCCGAGGATAAATCTCAGCCCTGCTAATTATAGCGGCTTTCAGTGCCGTGGCCCCATAGGCAGTGGCTGTTGCTGCCTCCTGGCCCTCTGGGGAGAACAGGCGGATGCAGGGGCAGCAAGCACACCCCTCCATGATGCCCCTCTTGCACAAATCAAGGTCCTCACCCCACGGAGCAGAGGGGCCCATGGAGGAAAAAAAGGCTCAGGGAGACGGATGGAGAATCAACTTTCCAGAGAAAGGAATCTTTGGCTTGGTGGGATGCTAAGTGCATCCAACCTGTGGGGCCCCACAGGTCTCCCCATCAGCCCCCACCACCCAGGCCATCAAACCAGCGCAAAACCTTGGGAAATTCCGCTCAGCCCTACACTCAGCATGTTCAGACTTTCCTGTCTGCTGGCCTCTGCCTGGATCCCACTGAGCCCTTGAGGGAGGAAGGGTTGTCCCGCAACCCGAGGGGACAGAATGGCTAGTGATGAGGGCCTGCCCTTCTCTCCCCTAACCTGCAGTTCTGGAAGGAGCCCCCTGGGATCTGGGATGCAGCTGAGCTGGCCCTGCTGGCTCTCTTGTACCTTTTGTGATAAATGCACAGGCAGGGCAGCCTGGCTATTGTGTCCCCCTGAAGCAGCTCCTCCAGGCAGATCACACACTCACCCGCATCTTTAGTCAGCACGTCATCTGCAAAGAGGGGACAGGAGAGAGTGGGAGAGGGTCAGTCACCAGCAGGCAGGTGGCACAAAGCAGGCATGGGGCTAGGAACTGGTTGGGACTGCTTGGGTCCCCTAAAGTGTGCCAGGAACACAGAAGCCCAAGTAGGGGACACAGAAGCCCAAGGACCTTGGCCTGAAGGCCCTCACTGCAGACAAGACATGCACACCACACGTTAATTATCCAAAGACAAAATGGGACTAATCACCAAAAAGTAGCCCAGGGGATGGAGGACGAAAAAGGCTTGGAGAGGGATAGACACACAGCAGAGGCAGCATGAGGCATATTGTTTCCCGAACACACATTTCCCCTCAACATACACAAAGACCAGGCGCACTGATTTCTGGTTTGGAACAATATGGTGACGGGGAGAGTGGTACGAGGTAAGAATGAATGGGAGAAACAGGTATTCTAGCAAATATTTGTACATGCATGTCCACAGCAGCATTACTCAATAGCCAAAAGGTGGAAACAACCTAAATGTCCACCAACTGGCGAATGGATAAACAAAATGTGGTGTATCCATAGAATGGAATATTACTCAGCCATGAAAAGGAATGAAGTGATGCATGCTACAATGTCAATGAACCTCAAAAATATTGTGATAAGTGAAAAAAGCCAGACATAAAAGGCCACCTACTATATGATTCCACTATATGAAATGTCCAGAATAGGCAAATTCATAGAGACAAAAAGTTAATCAGGGGCTAGGGGCAGGAGGGAATGGCAAGTGACTGTTTAAGGAGTTTTCTTTTTCTCTTTTTTTTTGTGGTGAGAACACTTAACATGAAGTCTACCCTCTTAACAGACTTTTAAGTGTATAGTACAGTATTGTCAACTATAGGCACAATGTTGTGCAGCAGATCTCTAGAACTTATTCATCTTGCATAACTGAAACTTTATCCCCGTTGAATAGCGATTCTCCATTTCTCTTTCCCCTCAGCTCCTGGCAACCACCATTCTGTTCTATGGTTCTATGAGGTTCACTATTTTAGATATCTTGTATAAGTGGAATCATGCAAGAGGTTTTCTTTTGGGGTGATGAAATGTTTGTAACTAGATAGAGATGGTGGTTGCACAACACTGTGAATGTCCTAAGTGCTACTAAATTGCACAACTCAAATTAAAAAAAGAAAAAAGACCTGCCACTCCCACACAAAAAAGAACGAATGGAAGGAAGCTACTGCACACCATGGACCCCTAGCAAAGCCATGATTGGAAAAGCCCAAGGAGAAGAGGGAGAGCACCACAGCCAAGTCAGCAGTCCTTTATTAAAATTCTATGACATTCTGGGCACTGGCAACTCAGTGACGAGGCCACGGTCTCAGGATTCAAGAAGCTCACAGTCTAACAGGGGAGGCTGAACAAGAAAATGGAAATGAACAGCAGAGGAATTTCTAGAAAGTCTCACGATGCATAGAGGCCCAGGTGTGAGAGATATGGAAGATACCTCATTGGGGTGAGGACTCTTCAGGGAAGGATATTCCGGGCTAAAGGGAACAGTACCTGCACACCTGGGAACTGCAGGAAGTTTGCTATGGCAGGAGCAGAGAGACTCCTGGGGCCTTGGGGGGTGGGGGTGGGGGGAAGAAGCCAACTTCCCCGGGACAGACTCGTGTCCTGCTGTGGCACCTGGGCTTTATCTGGTTCACTGACAGGCCCTGGAGATGCTCTCAATCACATCTGGTCTCTGGAAACTACTGGAGAATGGATTGGAAGAGCCCACAGATGTGGACCCCACTCTGGAGGCCGACACAGCTGTGTAGGAGAGATGAACTCAAGGCCTGCACTAGCAATGGGGGCAGGAAGGGAGGAAGGGCTCGCAAAAGAGGGCAGCTGGGCAAATAGCAGGCACTCATCACCAAGAGAGGGACCCAGGAGAAGGAGGACATGGGAAGCAAGTGATCAATTTAGAGTTGGGTGGGAGGTATCGACCAGGTGTCTCCACTGGGACATGTCAATGGAAACCTCCAGGAGTCCGTTCAAGTCTAGATCTGGGGTTTAGAAGAGAGATGTGCATGACGTGTAAATGTGGGATAAAGAGATTGTCCAGGGGAAAGTTTAGACTGAAATCCAAAGAAGGCAGACTACAGAACCCAGGTTAACTCTAATACGTGAAAGGCAGGTGAAATACGTGAAGTAAGCAAAAGGTGACCCAGAAGTTCTCAAAACCACAGGAGAAATACCAAGAGAGCAGGGTTATGGATGTGAAGAAAGGAGAGCTTGAAGCGGGATCAATTCCCCACTACTAAAAGATTTTACACACTGAGATTGTGTGTGTGTTTAACTGAGCCTCACAATCTTACGAGCCAGGCAAGGCACATGGTGTTATTCCCATTTTGCAAATGGGGATACTGGAGCCGGAGTAGTCTAAGATCTTGCCTAAGTCAGAGGGCTCGTGAATGGGAGTGCAGGGCCTGGGACTTTCTGCTTGGTGCCCTCATTCACCACTATTTCTTTGTGCCCTCTGATTACTTTGGTGGTAAGGGAAACATCTGGGGCCCATAAAATGAGGGCTCTTCACGGCCTAGAAGGCTACGGTAACTGAAAGTCCCTGACCAGGGATCCCAAGGAAAAAGCCTAAGGTAGAATCGATTCAATACTTAAGTCCCCGTGCACATGAGCTGTGAGAGAAGTCAATCTCAGCTTCCCGGCCACCAGGACAACCTGTGGTCATTTTCTCTGTTAAGATCTGCCTAGCCTAAAGGCCCACCTGAAAGGGCAACACAAACAGAAAAAGCAAACGGCATATAGTCAGTCTGCCATTGGAGTGTAACCTCAGACTCCAAAACGTGGCAAGTGGCAGGTCAATAAAAGGGTTATGATCTTGTTTTTTTTAAAGCACGGATACCATACATATTTAAATATTTGTGTGTATATATATGTTTGTGTAAGCACAGAAAAAAATCTGGAAGGATACACATACCTTAATAGTGTGGAGGAAAGGGGGAGTACAAGAAAAATATTTTTATATACTTTGAATTGTTTGTTTGAACATGCATTATTTTTATCATTAAAAACCCCAATAAAGAAACACAGGTGTTTTCATCTTCCTTTGAAATGCATCAAAAGGATAAGATGGATTGGTGCAAGGAGATACGTGACAGAGCAAGTATAGTATAATATAGACTCCAGGTGGTGGGGATTTGGGTGTTCACTGCAAAACCCTCCACTTTGCTGTGTGTTTTACGTCTTCCATAATAAACTATTGGAGGAAAAACTCCCAATAAAGATGGGAGGAAATACAGCCTAGCTTTGAGAAGGCAGAGTCATACTGGAGATATTCTTGGGCATTCATTTCCCACTCTCTTGTCTCGGGACCTCATCTATAAAGTGGGAGTCTAGGATCAAGCCCCCTTTCATGGGCTCCTCTCCACACTTATGGATGACTTCCTCAGGAGTGCCGCAACATTACTGATGCAGGATTAGTGTCCCCTTGCATTTTCCCCTACTGGTTGGTAACTTAGCTGTGAGCCCAGAGGGCAAGTTAGAACTCCCTGGGTCCCAAACAGCTTTCTGCACTGGCTGTGCTCTCTCTGTCCTGTCTGTCAGCTTTGGGAGGGTCTATGTGGTCCCTGGCCCCTTGCTTAGAGGTGACTGAGATACAGGGCAGGGAGCCAGACGAGGCTTGGGGTTTGCTTCTTCAGTAGGATTGGCCTTGACTCTCCTCTCTTTTCATGCTGGATATCACCAGGCTAAGAGGAAGGGATGGGAAGTGCAAGGGTGGTTGATTTTCTTATCTTATGGTGCACTCAAGGACTCAGACCTGAGCACATGAAACTCAGATGCAGCCTTCTCTTACTAACAATCGATTACCACCACACAACACTTTACAAAGCATTTTCACCACAGTGCAGTGTTGTGCCTTACCAGCCAGCCTGGGTCTGCAGTGCTGGTGGGAAGCACTAAACTGTGCAGCTGCCCTGCCAGGCTGGCACACAGCGGGCAACACATTTCACTGGGACTGAGAGCCCTGGCTGCAAAAGGCTGCCTTAAGGTTCCTGAGATGGGAAGCGTCCGGGGCTTGGAACCGATGGCGTGGTGTGGGGAAGCAGGAGTGCCCACACCCTGTGCAGTGCCCAGGGAGCAGCCTTCTTCCCACAGTGGAAGGCAGGAGGAGCACAAATCCCGCAACAGGCCTGAGTGGGTTGAGTAAAACTTCCTGTGCCAGCCCCTGGGGCTCTGGGAATCAGCAGCCCCCAGATGTCCCTGGGAGTCTAGCAGGGGAGTGGAAATGGCTGAAGCTGAAGATTGGCTATCAACTGGTTCCAACAAGACTTCCACTCTTCTGATGGGAGCCTGCTGCCCATTGTTGGAGCACCTCACAGCACAAAGCTGAGGACCCCGAGCCTGGCACAAGTGGAAGCCACTCTGCAGATGGATTCAAATGCACCCCCAGGTCCCCAGAGCAGGGGGGCTCAACCAATGCTAGTTGATGAGAACACAGGAATGAAGCTGTGCTGTCTGCCTTTCTCTTACTGCCTCCCAGGCCCCTTCCAAGCTTCCTGATATCCTTGTGCAAAGCCAATGTCACTGCCCAAGGGGGTGTTTGCAAGTATGTTTGGCCTGGCTGGGGGTGGTGCTAGGTGATGCCAATGCCTATCCCTCCAACTAGACCAGGGAACCAAACCAGAGTGGAAGGCAAGGCTCTCTGGCATGAAAACAGGAGGAGTGACGCCTGTGACAGGGCTGGGGGTAGGAGGTGGTGGCATACTTCTGCTCCCTCCCTGAGACACAGGGGTCGCACTTCTGACAGCTGCCCTTTGTCAAAGAAAAGAGATCTAGGAGGAGGAGAAAAAAGAGCCCTCACTTCTCTGGGGCCAGCTATATGCCAGAAACTTCAGACACATCTCAATGAATCCTAAAGACCCTGAGAGGGTCTTTGGATCAGCTCATGTGGCTGGTAAGTGGCCATGACTCCCAAGCCCAGTTCCTTCCACTTGGCCACCTTGACACCTTTCCTTAAAAGA